GATGGCCGGGTCCCATAAACTCACACGCGCAAAGTAGCCCAGCGTCCGCAGCCCTGGGCGAGTTCCGTGGCGACATCTCCGGCCTTGACCCCAACACGCGCAACTTGTCATTTGAAATTTGGGCAATCTGCCACTAAGGCCAACTTAATGGGAAACTTTCTGGCACTCAAAAAGCAATTGCAATCTCATCGAAGCCTTGGAAGGTGAAGCAACCAGGTACGGCAATAACATTGGAAGAGCTGCGAGCAGTGGCATTTTGTTTGTAATCCATAAAGGATGCAGGCAGCCAAATGCAGGCCAGCAGGCGACGCCATATCCACCTGGAGACTTGTGTGGGACATGGCCGCCTTGGCAAGCACAGACTGAAAGCGCAAGCAAGGCCCATTCCATCTGTGCCTGCTGTATTCAGCTTGCCTTCTGCAACCTCCTGCAATACGTGCATTCAACGCTCGTTGTATTAGTTGAGGCTCGAGGGGCCTCTGTTCAAATAGGGACCGTCTTCAAAGTCTGGGGGGTCTCTTGCTTTGGCTGCAGGAAACCTGCTCTTGGCATAGGCCTTCACAGGGCAGGCGGGCACGTCTTTGGGTTGAACTATGAGGATTTTGGGTGCTACGTGGACGAGGGTATTGGATCCGCAACTGTGAGTGTTCCGCTGATTCCGGATCACGAGTATTGCCTGAAAACATCCCGGCATCGTATTAGTTGAAGTGCTTTTAGAGGATGTATTTACCCAAACTGTCTTTCATGTAGGCGGCTGCTTCGTAGTTGTCCGAAACTCAAACCATGGAATGTGCCTTGTAAACTCAGCACCGAAAGTTCAACTGCTGAGAATCTCAGAGTTTGGCCAAGTTGGCTCGGGGCCTTTGAAGTTGTCTGAGCAATGAAAGCTTCCTAACATACAAAACTGCAAGATTCAAAAGCTTGGTCAATGCACACTCATGCTTGCATCATGCTCTGTGTGTTGCTGTTGTCGAAGCTGTCGTCACAACCATGGGCTCTATCCAAAATGAAAATCAATGAGAAAGACAAACAAGCGTAGCGTTGTTCCATTGGCATTGCCTCTTTCACTTGACCGAAATCAGGCAGTCAAAGGATTGACTTGTTGATGTCCGTCTTTGTTGCCTTTCCAAATTGTCGAAATCATGGGCTTTATCTGCAGGCTCAAGTCAGGCTCCAACAGCGCAGTGTCGCAAAGACGTGACTTTACATACTTGGACATCTTCAGAGATGAACATACTAAGCGCTGGCCCAAGTTTCCCAAATCGTGCTGCTTGTTCACATTTGCTGTTCTGCCATCCTCTACTTGACCATACAATGCACTGTACCTCCCAAGCCCACCAACACCATAGAATGATAACGCTGTAACTTGGCAAGAGTTTAGCCCAACTACGTCATAGCACCACTTCGCCGACCGATTTCCATTACCTCGCGTATTGTACATGCAGCGGTAGGGATGGCGGGGTTGTTGCCTGAGCTGTATTGTTATTTAGCTGTCTTTGTCTTTTATGCATACGGGATCTCATTGTTACGTTGCCTGCCCCAGCCCTGCCTTACACCGTTCTGAGAGCTGATATACCAAATGTGTTAACAACATATTTTCAAATGCAAGGGGTTTTGGGCATGGGCTCGTTTGATCGACACCACCAGCTCCATGGTTTTAGTCAAGAAGATAGCGTTCAGTTGACTACAAGTAGATGTTATGCTTCCCTGTAGGCTAATCTGATCATATGTTTCCAATGCAGCCCTCCATACCACTATTCGATTGCACGATAAAAGGCAGTGGTAGGAGGGGGATGTTGGGCACCCTACAGCCAGAATGTGGGCTTGTTGTCTCAAATCACTGCTTGACAAAATCGAGTCATGCTCCAGTAATGAGCTTCATTCAGCACATCTGGAAACTTCTTGCACCGTACCTGCTACCCCAGCTTGCACCCCTGTACACATGAGCAATGAAAGCTATCCAGTCAAAATTTCCTTGCCTGTGTCTCTGTGCCGCTGTGTTTCTTTTTGCCTGCGTTGACGAGTGTGTTGCGGTCCTCGGCGCTAGGTGGGCCACCTGTCAGGCGCGGCGGACCCGCGTCATTTTGCTCGACTGCATCAAATGATGCCAACCGGAGGCCTTCGGTAGCTTTTGGGGCACGTATACTTGTCATAGTGTTCGGAAGTTGGGTGTTGTCTACTTTGGCTGTATGGACGCTATCGCTGGCTGATCTGTACGCCATGTAGCAGTGTCTGCATTGAAAGACGAGTTGTGATTCTATATTTTGGAGGAGCTGAGTGGTGGAGACCAGCGCAAATGATGCTGTGCATGGCACCACTTGGAGATGCTGGCCATTGATGCTGCCCCGTTTGTCCAAGCGCTGAAGGCCTTGTGTGATGCAGCCACAAGCTGCGTGTGGCGCCAGGGTGCTGATCTGGTGATGACAGGAGTGGCTGAAGCCAGTGATGCGAAATTCGTCTGGGACATGGGCAGCATCTGCGGCATCTCCAGCATCACTCTCAGCGTCCACAGGAAATTGACATGCGACTGTGGATTTGCTTCTTCAGAGCTGTCGGCAAGGCGTCTAGCGTCTGCGGGGCGTCTATGACCCCCGCGATATCGCTGTTCTGAAGGATAGGTTTTGTCTCTCTCTCTCTCTCTCTCTGTCTCTGTCTCTCCGTTCTGAACTTGCTTTGTGTACAAATCCGCCCCATACTCGTTGCCAAGGGGCAGACACGGTGACCTTGGCCCATAGCCAGTCACAAAATGCCCTTGACTAGCCTTCCCCATCTATGCACTCTGCAAGCACAACCTGCCACTCATGGTTGCTCAAAGGCTTTCGCGGAAAGCACCTGTAAAAAATATTGTAAAGAAACAAAGAGGCATTGCAGCCGCCAGGCCCCGCACCCGCTTCTTCTGTTGGGTGATGCGTGAAGACACTGCCGTCTCCATGGCGTCATCCCCTTGCACCTGGCCAATGCACGCCCAAGGGCTTGATATCCAAGTTCGGCGCAAAGGTAGCTCAACAAAGCCGCAGTTCCCAATTCAACCAAAGCGGGTCAAAGATCAGGAATCCAGGTGCTACGCTCGATCCAAAGTGGCTCTTACTGCCGCGATGTGCACTCAATGCCACAAAGCTATCTGAGTGAATTTTGATATTTCACCAACCTAAAATAAGGTGAATGGGGGGCTGTTCCACATAAACCACCATGTGGGGTGAGGTCGCGTGAGGTTATACTTCACCTAGAGCTATGTGTCAGCCCACAGCCCACCTCTATCAAGTCATCGGACATTCGCTGCAGCTTCTGGAGGACCTCGGGAACGGAAAAGCAACCCGGCGAAGGGCGCTACATATGCCACGTGAACTTCCTAGCAAACACTTCTGCAGAGTCACTGAGCTGAGGGTGTTTTGTACCCATCAATGGCAAGGAAGCAAGCTACCGCAAAGGTGGCAAAGGCGTCGAAACACAATCGTTGGCAATGCCATGAATCTTCTTCATATTATGCAAGCACGGCCGTGCTGTGCCCTGCCGTTGCCTGCACAAGGTACTTCTTGTTGACCTTGGCGAGCTTTTTCATGAGCCGCAGTAGCCTGTCAATTACATGTCTCCGCTTGGTCCAACAGAGACCTCAGTGCAAACACCACTTGTCGCACTCACCCTCCCCTGCGCCTGCCCTGTTGGTTCTCAAAGATCAGCACTTCCACAGTCTTATATTTCAAGCTGTCCTCCAACCTGCTGGTGAACCTGACATGCACCCCCAAGTGTTGTGCCTACAGATCCCAAAGAACAGGGGGAACGATTGGCCCAGCTTTGTGGCTGCTCCCGGTCTGGGAAGGTGCTATCAAGATGCAGTTGACATGCCAAATGCTGCACACTACGTAGAAACATGACTTGAGCAACTTCAATGAGCAGTTGGCAGGATTGTCCATGGTGCACTTTGTTTGCCATCTAACTGAAGCTGAGCTCAGGCACAAGGAGATGGACACATAGCCGGTCGTGTGTGTGTCCAACTCTTGGAAGATACGCTTTGCTTCTGGCAAGCCTCAAGTTGCGCTTTGTGAAAGCTGCGAGCTGCAAGCTCCTCTGCGAAGGTCATGGGTGCTGTGTGTGTGTGTGTGTGTGACCCACCCTTTCTGTGGCCAAGGACTGGCGAAAAATTGTGTGATTTTGCCAGGATGCGGATCCCCACGTCCTCCAGAAGATCCAAATGGTGCGTCACCACTGCAGAGATGTCCCGCCAGCTCAGCGATCCGGTCTCGTGACGGTCAACCTCCTTGGCTGAGTTCCCCCCCCCCAAACCCCGCCCAAACCTCCGCCCCCCCCAACCCAAAGCCTTCTTCCTGGAACAGCACTAGCGCAAGCGGCTTGTCTGCCAATCATGTTATGTGCCCTTCTCAAGGATCTCTGTTTAACAATTGCAGCAACTGCTTGAGAAGGTCAGTCACAGGCCTGGCAGTGGACCTAAATTTCACTCACTTGATTCTGCTTCAGCACACCAGTCTCCCGCATGATTGTCCGATTTCATCGATTTCAAGCTTCCAGTTGAACAAGCAAAGCTACTTAGAAAATGAAGCAACGAGCTAGGTCAGAGGATGTGTCTTGATGCGGAGGATCCAGAGCTCATTGCATTCTGTCTCAAGTTAGGCTTTTTTAGTCTCAAGTCAGTCCCTGTACCAATGAGGTGTTGGGTTCAAGTCACTTTCAGCACACCCTGCCCAGATGAATTCTGGAGGCCTCAAGTTAAGCCGTGAATGCTCCGAGCTTCCTTCAAGCTCGCCACGAAGTCGCGCAGCAAGCCTCGCGTGGCCGCATGAAGCTCCGGATCCTTGAATTTCCGCACGGACGTCATTTCGAAGGACCGGTCCACCTTGCCAGGCAGTTGCGGAGGCGGCCTTGCCCAACACAGAAAACGCGAGGCGCAAAGGAGCACTTAAAGTCAAGGGAAGTGTCCAACTCATACTGAAAAACAAACTGCGAAAGTGCCAACATGATATCTGCTGAACTCCTAGTCTGCTACCCTGTGATCAGAAGTGCGGCCTGCTGCACCAGGATGCCTGCTGTGATGTTGAGCCAGACGAAGCTTGCGCACACGAGGAAAACGAAAAGAATGATGCCTTAGGTCAAAGGCTGCAAGGCCAAGGAAGGCTGCAAGACCACGTGGGCAATGCGAGGCAATGGTGAGTTTCATTCAAGACCCTGAAAATGGCTCGTGTGTCTTGGCACATCTCATCCTCAACTCGGTTTGAAGGCCTGTATTTTTGGCCCTGACCCATGAACATTCTTAATTTTGACCCGAGCTCATAAGTCATGCGCGATGCAGCTGAGATGCCTGCGCCCAGCATGTCCTCACAGCCGTGTTGAATCTCTCATTTTTGGGTGGGGGGCTACACCAACAAGATCCGCAATGACTTCATGGGATTAATTGTGCCCAAGTTTTGGTGAATGATCTCTGCTCATAGTGATTTATTGCTTCCGCCACTCGTCCAAATCTAGCACAAAAGCACTTTTGGCAGAAGGGGCGCCTGGTGAAAGAGCATCTTGTCCATGAGCTGAGGCCCCCATTCAGCGCCGCCCAGAGCACACTCCAGCACCGTCAGGAACGCACGCCCAGCAGTGCCAAACCGGCCACCTGGGATGTGGCAAAACGCCAACGCACGCCGATGCTCGAGGCTTTGGCTGCTAGATGTAGGCGCCTTGCGCAAAAAAGGGACAAGAACCGCGTCCGGCGAACTCTTCGTATCTTTCACAGATCCAGCCGAAGCCGCGGATGTCATCCGGGAACTCCACGGACTTGGGGTTGCTGGGGCCCAGCAAGTGGCTGAGCATGATCGCAGCTGTAAAGATCCTTGGTACACTGCCAGTCTTCTGAAACGGAGCTTGCAAGGGAATTCGAGGTGCTTCAGCATACACATTTGCAAACCTTGCAGCCTGAAACTAAAGCTAGTATCTGATTTGCAAAGCCTTGCACCAAAACCCTGAATGAGCAGCCAAATGGCTCCAGTTTGCATGAAAATGCTGCAAGGCTTGCAAGAGGCCAAGCCACAACGCGACGATGTAGACCAACGCCGCCATCAAAGAGCTCAAGGAATGCTTGAAGCCAACAGCCTGGGTCGCACGGATGTCCAAACAGGCTTTGACCGTGCCGCGCTGTCAACTGCTGAACTTGAAAAAAACGGCAAAAGGGTATTTTGGTGAGTGCACCAGGATGCCGTGTCAAACACATTCACAATACATTTTTAAAGATGGTCGAACCCATGCATTTGGCATTGCATGTTGAATTTCATTTCGGCTGTCTCTTGATTGTGCTTCCACTGGTACGCTCCTTGATCTTGACATGGGTGTGTCTGTTTTAGGGGACCCCCAAAACGGGTGGTGTCACCCATATGCTGAGCTTGCGACATTGCGAGAAGACATCACATGTTTGTTTACGCTGTAAAGTCATGGCGAAACACGCCATGTCTATGCTCCAGAGTAATTCCTATGCTACTAGCAATATTAGCGTTCTCTGCCATGTGCAGACGAAAGGCGGCCAAATACATGGGCCGAAGCCACTTGATGTTGGCCAGCATGGCAACACCTCACCCAAGGAATGAACCCATCCCCTGCCGCCCTTGCTGGCATGCTGGTGAAAGCACCAAACGTGCAAAAGCCAATTAAACAATTGCTCACCATGGTCCGGACTCTGCTTGGATTGATTCTCCCTTCACCTCCCGGCACCTCGGGCCTCGGGTCACCCGAAAGACTCGGAAGATGTTCATGACCTCAGGCACACAGAAAAAGCTTTGGCGCCAGCCAAATGCGCGGAACCGCTTTATCGCATGCCAGCCGCGGTCACCGTGAAGTTCTGCTCCCAGCCGAAAGGACGGACGATCCACAGCTCCACCGCAGGAGCCCTCGGAGCTGAGAGAAAAGCCGAGAGCCGTCGCGAGCTCGCGATCCGAGAAACCGAAAGCCGAATCGGAGTTGCTCGTCTTTGGCGAAAGGCGAGACTTGTGGCAAGACTCCCAATGATGACAATGTCGAAACAAAGCCACGGGTCCCGCCAAATTGTGAGGCGAGCCTGGGTGAGGCAAACCCGAGCCCCGGATTGGCGGGGCAATCGAAGCTTTCCTATGGCCTCTCTGAGCCCCCTCTGTCCAAACAATGCGAGACAAGACAAATTTCTGAGCCCCAAAGGATTTGTTCAGGGGCGGTGCAAACAGGTTGACCATTGATAACTGTCAACAATGACATACACTTTCTGCCAAGATGCGTAGTGTATCAACCGAATGATAAGCTCAAGCATAAACAGTCCTGGAACCAGGGCCGCTCGTTTGGCGGCTGTCTTGCAATTTGTGTCGCTTCCGATAGCAAGGCTCCGTGGAACTTTCGCCAACCCCACCACCATTCCCATGAATAGCGGGAAAAGAAAGGACTGGCAACCGCAACACTCGCAGCTCACTTGCAATCCAGACAGTAGGCCTGTGAAGACACTCTCGATGGCATAGTACACCGATATGTCCTGAATGATGCTCCGTTCTTGGAGGACGATGCTATCTGCAGAAAAGCCTGGCAAACATGTCTGTCTGCGCAGGGGTGACATGTGTCCCAGAATACACAATAACATAGAGCTCTGTCTTGAATGGCATGTCTGGGAACTCGATTTCAAGCCAGTGCTTTGACACTCTGGCTTGCTGTCAGGCCCTTTTTGCAAACGCTTCTATGGGCTCACCCTTTGGTTGACTCTTGCGCCTGTCCAAATCATGTTCAGCAGGATGACTGTTGCATTGACTGCCAAGAACACATTGCTGGTCAGCATCCTCAAAGCCAAGACAGACACGAACAAATCAACGTCAAAGCAGGGTAGCTCGGAAGGTTGTTGCCTGCTGGCCTCTGCATCAAAAAGAATGCCAAGCCATCAGAAAGGTGTCACTTCTTTGCAAAGTGTGATGTGTGTGTGTGTGTGTGTGTTTTTCCCCCCGAAGATCGCTCAGGCCTTTTTCCGAAGATCGCCATGGAAAGTGAGACATGTGAGAAAAGAAATACATGATAGGGTTGGTGAAAGACTTCTCCGAAGATGTTGCCGATCTGAGCCGGAGACTCTCAAGTTTGCACTCTCAAATATGCCGCAGTGGCGTTTTGCTTTGCTGTCCTTCTGATCCAGGTGGGCGGGTTGTAGAGCCGGGTCCCACGAGTTTCAAACCTCAGCAAATGAGAAGCTTGTTGGACATCCAGGAAAAAAAAGGAAAAAAAACACTCGAGAAGAGTCGTCGAGAGCCCACGAGCCGGAGGACAAGCGTCCAATTCCAACGGCTATTTGCGCCGGGCTGCGAGTCGGCGCTGCTTCCGCTTCTCACTGAGCGTTTCCGGCCGACCTGCAAAGCTTGGGGCGTGCACGCGCGCTTTTAACGCGCCCACAGAATCAATGGGCCGGGCTGTGAGTTGCAACGGTTGTCAAAAGGAATACGGACAGAAATGGGATTGGAAGCAACAAGAATGAAAAGCTAACAGCAAAAGTCCAAGCCTGCTCCTCTGAATTCTCGGAGACCGCAGCAGAAGTGGTGATGAAATTAACCTGCCAAAGGTGCAAGGTCAAAAGGCTTTAAGATTGAACACAAATAATCTTTAGGCCGTCAGAAGCTCAAGCGCTACACATCCTGTGCTGGACAAGCTTCCGAGCGCTCGCCCTCGTCCTTTGGCGAGACATCAGAATCAATATCCGCGGCATCTCGCTCCTTCAACTACGTGGATAGTCGCAACATCCACTTCACCCCACTCAGGATTGGTGCTTCAACTATACAGGTTCATCCATCCCGACTGGTGCGAACTGGACGCTGTCCATCCACAGAAATACTTTCTGAGCGAAACGCATATTTCTGCCCTGCCCGCTCCCCTCAACCTTGAGGTGCTGTTTGGCCAACATCCAGACTTGACCACGTGTACGGCGGATGCATGGGCTGACCGTGAAGAAGAGTTAAGCATCAGAGAGAAGGTTGCAGTCAAACACCAGATGGAACGGATATCAGAGCTGTCTGGAAGATTGGTTCCGACATCAGGGCTGTTGACTAGACAATTGTTCTGCCTTTTGCGCTGCTCCGGAAGAGTTCAGGGCCACACCCCGCTCCAGCTGACCACCTCCACCCTCAAAACGCCGTGAGCCATGTTTACTCGCGGGACTTGAGATGGTTCAGCTGATAAATCGCTTGGCACTTCTCATCAAGAGCAATCGCTCCTCCTCCTCCTCTGCATCCGCATGGAAACTCACCTGGGCTGAATGGGCTGTCAGGTGTTCCGCATGCATCACTTTGCCCGGCACTCACCTTGCATGGTTCAATCGAAGCCACTGAATATAGAGTACAAGAGCGGTGGTTCTTGCAAGATCGAGGATATTAGTTGTCGCAATCATCTATGTCATGCTCTGCGTACAGTGATTCGAAGAAAATATAGCAAAGTGTCTGCTGTAGGCTGGTAGAAGCATCCTCCCACGACAGGCCTTGATGCCTACTGGGGATGCCGGTTGGGATGAATGAAACACTCTAGACACAAACCAGCTAGCAACTAGTGCAAGATTTGATTGCCTCGGCCCAAGCTTGCCGTGGGCATCAATCTGGTGCGTTTTATCCACAAGTGCCACAAGGTCAAGCGCCAAAAATTATCCAAGTAGAGTTCGCAGCTCGTCTTGGGCTTTCTATGTGAAACCCAGTATCCAAGTCAATCGCACTCACAGAAAGCTGATGATGATGATGATGATGATGATGATGATGATGATGATGATGATGATGATCACGATGATCACGATGATCACGATGATCACGATGATCACGATGATCACGATGGTATCGCGGCAGAATAGGTCAAAGCAAACGTGCTCGGCTTTGCCGAAAAGCCCTGCGCTCTTTCACCATCACATGCCTACACACGCAAAGCAAAGCTTCATTGCTGCAACATGATTGGCAGCGCTGCCCAGGTGCACTCTTTCTCAGCTTGGCTGAGTTGTCTGCCATGAGAGGCACAAATGGGGCAGCTTGTCAAAGGTAGGGTGCAAAATAGCAACTGGAAATTAGTTTGTTGATGTCGAAGTGATTGCTGTAGCAATTCCTAAAATGTCCGAAAACGCTTGCTTGGCTCGCTGAAGGCATGGTTGCTCATTTCCGCCCACGAGCCGATAGAACTGAGGCGGTGTGGAAAGGCAAGCAAATGTGAAAACAGAGCGATACAGGTGCACAGGCAGAACGCTGTCATGCTTGCAGTTTGCCGCACCAATAACAAAAGTGAGTGCGTGTCAATAGTCATATGGATGATGGCCGAGCCCTATCCTCCTATCGCAAGGGAATGATCAATCTGCAGTCAAGATTCCTGCAGGCATGCAACCAAAAATCAGCTTGTGATAAACCCGACATACCAAACTAAACTTGTTCACGCGCTCAAGTTTCAGGTTTGAGCTTGCACCAACCTCCCCGCTCCACCCTCTGGGGTCCAGTGCAGCAGACGGCTCATATTCCCAGCCTGCATAACAAATTGGCTTGTGGCATCAGTTGCAAGAAGGCACAGCCAAAATGGACAGCAGAAGCAGGATCAACGTGTCTGTCATGCATCGTCTTTCAACAAGGCTTACTGTGCTGAGGAACCGACGATGCAGCTTCTACACACTGTGTCTGCTGTTTTGGCCACCACGCAACAACACAATTCATTCAAATGGGGAGGCGGGGAAGGCAAACGCTTTGAACCATTTGCAATGGACAAGGATTTAGCAATTAGTCGTGCCTCCGCTCTGGGCACATGGACTGTGCGCTCCTCGCAGCTTGTGCGAGTGCAGCACAACATAAACGTGCACGCTGCCGTCTCCTCTCGCTTGTCCGAAGCAAGCCTTATTCCACAGTACATGATGGGCACCATGTTAGTGAACGCATTTATCGTGTTTGCTATCATGTGAAAATGGGATACGCACACACACACACACACACACACTCACACTGCAAGATCTGGGCGGCTTCAGGTTGTTGATAGGCCCGGCCATCATATGAAGAACTGTCCTGATTGCAGCGTCCGAATCAGCTGGCAATTGCACCCCCTTGCAAATGCTGAGGGTCGCACCCCACTCCATTATGCCATCGGGATTACAGAGCGGGAAGTTTAACTCCGAAACCGTGCCAAACAGCTTCAAAACGACATTGGAATAGCAAAACTGCCGCTCAAGGTAAGAATGATCATGACGCTGACCGAAACAAAATGTTTGGAGCATGAAGTTGGTTTCAAGCAGTGTTGAAACAACCGCAAAAGCAAGAACACGCGTCAAAAACATGTATTGAACAATCACGCACTCACACAAAAGCACACACACACAGAGACACACACTCACACACACACACACAAACACACCCACCCACCCGCCCGCCCGCCCGCCCGCCCGCCCGCCCGCCCGCCCGCCCGCCCGCACGCACGCACGCACGCACGCACGCACGCACGCACGCACGCACGCACGCACGCACGCACGCACGCACACACACACATATATATATATATATATATATATATATAAAATATACATTTGATCCAAATCCAAATGAGCGCGACTGCACCCAACGCAACCAAACCACACAAAAACTCAAGTTGGCACGATTACTCGGTCGTCTTTGGTGACAACAGGCATCCTCTTTAATGGAGTGCCAATATTCAGCTGTAAGTCTTTTACGCTTTTGTTCGCTGGTGGTGGCACCCAACTTTAAAGAACCCTGTCAGGGTTTGCACACACATACACACTGGGAAAGAAGCCGCATTGATCTGTTTGCGTCACGTGCCTAATTGGCTCAGAATGCTCTAGTCGGCTTATTTGCCTGAAGACAGTGGCTGTATAAAGTGGCATGCTGCCTACATTGCCAACTGCGCAAACGGGTCCGTGGTTCAAAGCATTACTGTAAAGCTTGTCTAGCCACGTTTAGAATGAACGGACCATCCGCACCGCTGGGATGTCCGACCACAGGGCAGCTGACAACAAGTGTCTTCTTTGACCTTTTACCACAAAAAGATCGACAGCAATTTGTGGAAGCTATGTAAACAACCCTCAATCTGACATTACACAAGCAAGGCGGCGCGCAAGTTCACATTGGCCTCTTTCAAACATGCACCATGTTCTTGTTCTAGTTTGTTGCCACGACACAAAGTCGATTCAAAGAGAAGGGGGACCAAAACTGTTCGTCGCAAACGCCAGCTGCTCTGTTTGTTGTTGTTTAACCAAATAGAAGTTGTTTTTTGGGATTCTACGTTTAAGATGCCGAGCCACTTATTGTGCAAGCTTGAAAAGAGCCAGAAAATGCAACTTGTTTTGCGTCCAATTAGGGCCAATTGGCCAGCGGTCAAAGTACCTGCACAAGCTTATAAGAGCGTAAGAAAAGGATTCAACACAACAACAGAAGCACCACAAGCAAAAACATTGCATTTTGCACTGTAGACAAACTGCACATGCGACACGTACAAGGTGGTTCTAGCCAAGACTTTCGAGCATCCACCATCATCCTAGCTTGCGCACAATGCACTAACGAACAAGACTCAGTGCGAGGCAAATACCGCAGCACTTACCACAGACAAGGAACGCACTTAATTCGTTGATTGGACGTTGTGACCGGCCAGCTTAGCAGAGCAAAAACATACGCCCAGTGTAACCTTTTAAACGTAAGGCGAAGGATCCGCCCTGAAAGAGTCCAATGAATTGGTGTTTTTTTTGCGAGGCGAACCATCTTGTGCGTCGAGTAAGATCTTGCATGCGAGCTTGGCAGGTCTGCGGTTTGTCTGCAGTAGTAGCAGAAACAATGTTGTTCTCGCGTTGTTTTTTGGTTTGTTTCGGTTCCTTTTGTCACGCTGTAAGTTTGCGCAGGTCTTCGACCGCTGGCCTTGGTTGCTGGGACTGTTCTGGGCTGGACCCGGCGCCCCGTTTCATTTTTAGCGGTCTTTAACGAGATGTTTGTGGCCATGAACCAAAAACATTGTTGCTGACAACGTCTTACACAACCAAAACGGTCGCCAGACCAAGAGAGACAACTGGATCCCAAAGAAGCTACGTTTTCGAACCCTGAGGCGCGTCTTATCTTTTTGCCGCTGTCATTTGTCTGGCCGCGCTTTGGAAGTTGAAGGATTGAAATCACATGCAATTGAAGTGATCACATCAAGTTCACAAAACAGATTGCAAGGGATCTCCTGCAGTCTTTTTAGGGCAGATCTTCAAGATTTTTAAAGTTGTTTTTGTAGCTCAAAACAACGCACCACCGTCATGCTGCAAGCAGACATCTACACGGCGTCATCATGGTTTACCCGATTGGAAGGAAGAACACCACTACGGTGATCAACAGCATCAAACACTTCTCGGGTATTCCGATGCGATCCCAGTACGGGGGAATCTTCGCCAAGCACGCAATCAACAAACCGAGTGAGATGCTATTTTCGCAAAACCATGCACAGGTGGATCATGGGCAAGTTTGAACAAATCACGAGGACCTGAAACCAAACAAAACCATTCCCAATGGAAAACACGCCAAATTGAAAAGGCTGCTACACTGTTTGAACTTTATATTGAAGATTTCGCATTGTTTGGACGGTTGTAGGTATGGCTTGATACAAAGGTTTGCTTTCCTTTCTACAAAGTGTCACGGATTGCGTGAACATGGACCATGCGCGGCGGGTAGGGAGGTTGACTGTACATTTGACCGTCAATGTCTCAACTTGGAGGAGTACTTGTTCGTGCCCATTGGTAAGGCGAAGATCGGTGTGATGTACTGCGCGTCATTAATTGAGAACGTCATGAGTGGGTAGCGATTTGAGAATTTTCCGACGAATTGACGAGAATGCACGAACAGAATGCTGCCAAATCGGTTATGAAAGCTGGGGCACCTGCAAAAAAGTTTCGTTCCTTGGTGGGGAGATTTCCTGCGGAGATCATGAACCACCTGGGGAGTTCTGCGGAAGCGTAAGCGAGTGTGACAAAGGACAAACCAATGCCCATCGCAACATCAAGCCTTGTCGAAGGGTTTGATCGTAGCACCATCTTCCCGGTCAGAGCGGTGAAACTCCGCTACGGCGCCCAGCAGCTGCCGAACCGCCCGGCCCACCAGCAGGCAGTCCGTCACCTGTGAGGTAGCGTGGGGGCGCATCTAGGACACGCCGGCCTTTGCCACCATGCAGAAGCCCAGAACTGCGTCGTGGATGGGACGGTAGGTGCCGTTGCTCAGCAGCCTCCTGGTGTAGACGAAGTCCCATGCAAGGCCTGAGAGAAGTCCGCCTCCGCCCCGTCCAGCTCGCTGCTGCTGCTGCGTACAGTAGTAAGGAACATCAGCACAAAAAAAACCCTATTAATTTCCCTTTTTGGCCTCAAAAAGCTGCCAAAACAGCACTTTTTCGGCCAAAATCATGCTTGTCATTGGTAATGTCATCGCTTGTCATTGCCTCCTGAATTCCCGAAAACCTCGTTCTTTTCGGTCAAAACGGCTCAGGAGCCTTCCAGGCCTCAAAATCTTGGCAGGCAAAGGTAAGCCGGGGGCCCACGACAGCCTGCCGAGCTTGTCACCACTTGTCACCACTTGTCACCACTTGTCACCACTTGTCACCACTTGTCACCACTTGTTCTCAGATGTCAATGCTGGGATTCGAGCCCCCGGCCAGCCAAGGGAGCCTTTAGCTTCTTGGGTGCCAGGGGCAGCCTGCCGAGCTTGTCATCGATGTCATCGTTTTGTCATCGCCGGGATTCGAGCCCCAGGGCGCCGGGAATTGAGCCCCAGGCCAGACTGCTGCAGAAAGCAGGGTCGCGGCGAGCCCAATGAAAAGCAGCACTGGATATCCCGAAAGTTCCCACACGGTTTAACCAGACTTCCCCGCTTTCCAAATGCGTGGCACAGGCTTGATCCCCAATCCTGGGGGCGCACTCGAACCAATCGGTGGGCACGTGAAATATCTCCCGTATGGCCGAACGTGGCATTGGGCATGTGCTGTAAAAGGCATCTAAGGTCAGCTGCCGTCGGCGTGATAGGTGAGGATCGTACCTTGATGCGAGCA